ATTGGTTGATTATCTTCATTTCGTCAATAATGAGATTACATATAAAATATAAAGAAAAGTGAGACAGATTATTAAATATAGAACATTTAATCAGTTTATTCATACTTCAATTAAACAGTTCGTCGCGTGGTCCACACATTTAATCCTTTACTAACTAGACACAGAAACCTTGTCCATTCCGCAGCCGACATCTGATCATGGCGCAAAATATATTCCGAATCCTAGTAGGGTTTCTATTAAAATATCGCAATCACTGTTCCACAGATCATTTAAATAAATCGATATATATCTCATACAGTTTATCCCTTTCTTTATATAGCTTAGCTCAGTTCAGCATAAAATGCTTTGTCATATCATAACACGTTTTATTACACATCACGTTTCCATCAGTTGTTAAAATAGCCAGCCTAATTATGATATTAATATAATGCTTATGTTGTCTATTTTGGTTACATTTTTTCCATAGATCACACATTGTTACGTCTTGGTGCATGTCAATTTCCCTTCATGGTTATTTTTGTTCACTACGTATTTTCCGCTCACCGAAGCGTCTTGTTGATCTATTTCTTCCATACACTTTGCTGAACACATCCATTTTATCCAAGTAGTTGCTAATGACATGTACAAGTTGGTGTTGCTCGAGGACAGGAAAATATATCAGCAACAAAACCCTTTTGTTTGTTATTACCGGACATAAATTGACAAATACGGAAGTTAAAACCCTTTTTCCAGATATAGTCTTCTGTTTCGTACAAAAAAAAATATATATTTAGTAGTGTCAATTTTGACTTTTCTATTCACGTTGAATGTTGTCGTAGCTTCTTTGGAGATGCGTCGATCGAGTCCTTGGATTCTGTGAGTTGCATATCTCTGAGTTATCTCTAATTAACAGATTGATTATTTCGTCATTTCAAACCACAATTGAATATCTTGTACTATTACAGGTATGACAACTTTCTTCCATATCTTAATCGCGTGATATGGACTCATACTGCTGCTAGTAAATCCAGCAGAGGCAAGAGAGTTAAGCCCTTTTTACACCTCGACGAGCCGGCATTCCTATCAGAGATCCACCTTTCACAATTGTGCTAAATGCCACTTTAATAGAAATGTATGATAAAGCTAGCAAGCATTTGTAGGACTACATCAGGCATGTGTAGGACTACGCGAAAGTCTGATTTTTCGAATAGTTACATATTGTAGCCTTTTTACACTAAATAAAAGGTTTTTTGTTTTATATGTATGTAAATTTGTAGTTATTATATATTTTATTCTCCAATATTGACTTGTTTTCCCTCTGTGAATTTTTGTTGTATAGCTCCCCCACTCCCACTTATAAAATATTATTATTTATAGACATTCTATAGCGCAAATATTCCCTAATATGTTCATCAATAAATAGGCTATATAAAAAGCAAAGATAAATAAAAGAGAGACATAGGCTTGGCATCTTTAAAATAAGTCAATAAAACTAGATTAGCTTTGATTTAAAGCAGCTAAGTGTCTAACTCAATATTTTCTATAATATTCGAAATTAAAAACTGGAATTCAATATTGATCAATTGCAATCAATAATTATGTTGCTTTCTTGTCGTGAAACTATAGGATATTAATATCCAATATTTAAAACAATTAACATTTTATAATCAGTACACGAGTCGTGTACCCTATGGTTTCAGGTGCCATTTTGTAATGAACAAATAATAACATATCCTATACAACACAATGTGGAAGTAATTAGTAAAGGGTGATTCACAAACGACAAAATAATAATTTAACAAACGTGTACAATGCACTGCCGTTCAATTTGAACTATTCACGTATTTACATTAATATTGTTTTCAAAAAACAATAGAAATCGCTTCACATACATTCATATTATATTAATAAATAATATTAATGACCGAATGTCATTCAGTTAGCTGGCGTGGTTTAGATTCCCTGGTTGTACGAGACAAAGAGTAGGGTTGCCTGTTCAACCTCGTGGGATTTTTTCGGGTTCCCCCACTGTTAAAGATCCCTACGCGCAAGCAAATTATTGAATCATATGTTAGTCCCAAAATGACCTAGTTTGTGGCGAGTGGACGTTAAAAAATGTCCCCATTTCTCTCTCTCTCTCTCTGGCTTTTAGAACCATACGCCCTTTAAAATAAAAAATACCCTCAGTGGTACGTACATAGTAGGGAAGATGTTCCCCATGGTTACAAACATGTAAGATGTATTTTATATGTTTTCGAGGCCATATGTAATCGATTGGCCAATTCGAAGCAATCATCCAAGATGGACTCCAAAATGGCAAGACAATACCAATAACTAGCAGCAAGACGAAATCTAAACATTTGAAAAGATTTTTTGAGGTTAAGAAGAGTTGTCATCTGGTAACCGCTCCCTTCATCCCACCCTAGCTACGGTGCTTCCGACAACTTAAAATACAAATATAAACCAGCATGAATAATAGTAGTATTGATTTAAGATGTACATAAATAACTAACTTCTAGTGTACAGTGCTTTTGAACAATTATTATTTAACAATACAACATCCACACCGTTTGGATAATAAAGGGCGCCACCGACATAAAGACTATCTTGTGCGGAAGTTCATTAAAGATTTTCCATCGATTTATCAATAGGGCACAATATCAACATAACTTACATGCAAGTTAAGACACTCATCTGATTGTCTAAAGAATTGACACAAATATGCAGTTGTCATGCAACATTTTGCAAGAGATAGGCAGAGAACAGGGAAAATCAATAGGGCTCAAAGCTTCACATCGAAATAGAAAAAAAAAGGAAAACAATCGATTCAAGATTTAGCATTTTGATTTATTCCAAAGACATGTTGACAAATGCTCAGTTTTTGATTAAAAAAAAAATATCAACACAAGTCGATAAAGTAAAGTAAAAAAAAAACAACAAAGAGGTTTCGCCGAGTAGGAGATTTTATTTATCACCCAACACTTCCTAACTCGCACAAATAAGTACATATAATAATTTGGTATAGACTTAGTTTTACTAAACCTGTACATCATTGTTTTGACAGCAAGTCACCTGATTCAAAATCCTGTATATTGGCCCGGTGTTTCCGTTAAGGTGATGGGGAGTATTGTAATTGTTTATGGTAATTGAGTTCCTTTTTAATTAACCAATCAAATTCGTGTAAAGGAGATATCGCTCAGGAAGTTATCATACAAGCGATACCTACTGTAGAATGTGTTATTGGATGATAAATAGAGTCATTCAATAGTGTTCATTAGAAACAGTTCCAAAAACTTTGTACATATTACACGTTTTGCGTAAAAGGCTGTGGGCATAACTACAGAACGGAAGGTATGAAACGCACTACATTGATACCTTTAATACTTAACATAGATTTTAAGTTTTATCCATTATGGACAAAAACTGTAAACTATAGAGGATCAACAACCTTGGTAATACATGCTTTTGCACTATTAGCGTAATTGGGAGTGGCCTTTTTGACGGGAGGTTTCGGTCCAATTTTCAACGGTATTTATGGTGCATCGTTGACAAACTGAACGTTTTTTTTACAATACACATTTTGACCTCCAGAAGGCCCACATATAATCGAGGTTAGTACGGTCCGATATGTGGCAATATCGAAAAGGCACCGATAAAATCGGTAAAAATTGTGACCTCTACAAGGTCTACAACCTTGGTAATACATGCTTTAAATTATTTGCATACTGAGGGGGCGACCATTTGATGAACAGTTTAGGTCTGATTTTCATGAAATATTAACTCAATCATAATTATAGTGTAACCGTGATATATTTGAACGGCTTTAATAATCAAATAAAAATTGTGACCTCTAAAGGGTCCACTTGCTAAACAACTGATTTTTCGAACAATCATGAGAAGTAATCAAAGTTACCGTCCGATACGCACAAATATCAAAAGGAAAAGATAACTGCGGAAAGTGGGACGACAGGATACGTCCACATGAGTGGGCCGAAGATTACTTTATATTCTCGAACCACCAGTGCTAAATGCCGGCCATGGTAGTAATCACAATATGCATTTAAATATTTAGGATGGTAAATAATCACCGTATTTCTGGTACTATTGTACTGATTAATTATTACATTGTTAAGAATTACATCAGTTTTAAATTTTAACACGAAAGTATCTATATGCACCTAGCATCTTTATACGCCTAACATAATATATGATAATGCAACCACCTCATCTATATACTCTAGCATCTATAGTATAATACAAGCACTTCATTGATATACACAATTAGCCTCTATAGTATAATACAACCACCCAATATATATACACCTAGCATCTATAGTATAATGCAACAACCTCATCTATATAAACCTGGCATCTATACAAGTGCTGGCTGAAAAGTTCTAAGCCTTTCTGTGGAAGACCTGGATGCCGGTCAGGAAGACATATTCTTCAGCCACCCTGTACACAAATGACATGACGTACCATTACTAGGAAAATGACGACAGACTAGTTACCTTTTTGTAGTAGGGTGTTTTAGCCCCTTTAAATATTTTAGTAGGGTGTTATAGCCACTTTAACTATCTCAGTCAGTCTCTATTGTCTTGAGTATCCAGCTAGCCTTTTCTTTCCAGTGGTGATATTTACTTTAGTTTAAAGTTTAAAAATGCTATTGTTATAAGGTAGTGAGTAGATTTCATTCCCTTGGAAACCTGCTTTGTTGATTTTGGTTACTAACTTCACTCTTCTATTTTCTACCCATCTTTAAACAGCTCTTCTTAATTACAGCACAAATTAATCATTTATTTCAAGGTAGGTTTTGTATTTGTTTGACTGGACTAGACATTTTAAACTATATAAATAATTCCAAACTATTAAAGTAAATATTAGCAAGTTAATAATAATATATATATAGAAATTAAATAACCATATATTTCATAAGTAAATGTTGATTAAATATATTTTTCCCTCACGTGTAAAGTCTTTTAATTGTGATATCTATTTGTTTTATAGTGTTTCGTATTGTGTTGACCATAAAGTGTATAACTTTATAAATCATCTTTATTTTCCTGGAAAGAAAGCACCTGTCTTAGGGTATGTTTGAAATATGTATTTATAACTTGAATCTTTGTTAGAATGGTTCAATGTAAATAGATAGTCTTTTCATTTTAATGCATAATAATATAGTACTTATATTATAACAGAGATACCGTATTTAATAGTTCACTTTTGTAAATAATCATTTTGTATCTTTTCAGTGTTTTTGTGATGTGTATGAAGTGTATTTTGTCCTGAAATAAACTGTTGTATTGTTAATTGGAGTCAACTAGTCTATACAACTTTACCCACGACCTGTACTGCCGGATAGTCTGTCTGTCCGTCAAAACTCCTGCTACAAAATGGCGCCCAACGTGATATAGAGACAGTTGATTCCTGTGTTTTGTGATCTGTGTTTTGTGAACTCTTGCTTGATTTGTGTTTTTGTGTTGAATTCTTGGATTTTTCTGGATTTCTGCGAAAGAGCTCTGTAAGTTGTTTTTCTTATACTTGGCCAAGTAAACATTTTGTTTCAATAAATATATTTTATTATACTTGTATTAATTGTAATATTGTGTAATTTATTATTGAGGGTGTGAATGTGTATGTATATCTGTGGACGCCTAGATTATCTGTCTTTATCTTATACTTATAGCGTAAAATATTTGTTCTTAGTGTTAAGGTACATGTATATAAATTACAAAGTAAAATACACGTATCGTAATTTAGACAGCTAGATTATTATAAATAATCAAGGTGACTAAAGCATAAAATAAATACTGGTTATTTTACTGTTACTCTACTTGTATATAAGTACATATTTTATAAATAATTGTTCATAGTACATCTTACATTATACATTTATGTAGTAAAAATATTCATTTAACATATTAGTACAATCATTAAATAGTTTTTTGGTAAAATACATCTTTAACATTACAGATATCAACATTACATCAATATTTAAAAATAATTAAGGTGCTATTAATTACATAACATTATAGTATTAGATCCTGTGTAAAACAAACATATTTATTTTATAATTAGGTTAGCTTTAAATTTCTCTTATAGGTGATAGGTTACATTGACATTGACCTACTTCCTGTGACATTGACCTAGTGACATTGACAGCCATTTTTTATTTGTTTACATTCAACATAGTTTCATAGCTTAACATCAGCAAAACACTTGCACTTAACTTTCTATTTCTATTTCTCAGTTTTTCTTTCCTTGTAACTCGTCTTGAATTAATAAAGGGAAATTGATTGCTCGTGACTTTGTTTGATTTTTATTTAACATTAGCGTTCCAGTATTTGATGATTGTTTTTCTTGCATTTTCGTATTTTCATTTTTGAAGAGTTTTGACAAGTTTCAGTTGGGTATTTTTTTGGGACTTGGATTTTTTGTCATAAATCTTCATATATATTCTGGTTTTGTAGTTGTGACTTCAACTTTGTAGATTGTTTTCGGTATTGAATTCCACATTCCAGTCCGAGAATTTTGTTTGATTTTCACTTAAATATTTTCATCTACATGGTGTGTAATTTTTAATTTCCAAATTTCTTCATGGGCATGTAACATCAAACATATTGTTTCAAAGTTAATTAATGCTGGTATTCTAGTTGAACCTGCTTCAAATAAAATATTGAAGGACAGATTTTGGCATGGCCTGAGCAATTCACAAGTTAAATCTAATACTAGGCATATTCTTGATGCTGATGTATCATTTTCAGTTTTAATGACTGCTGTTAGGAAAGCTGAAGAAGAGATGCATATTTTTTCAGCCACTCCTAATCTCCCTAGTTCATCATTTCACGTAATATCTACAACTTCAAGTTCTTCAGACACTTTTCAAAATAAAATTCTTCAACAGATTTCCGGTTTGTCAGAGCAAATGAAGACAGTAAATTCTCGTATAACTGATATGGAACATCAGATGCAGCAACCACGACAGAGGTACTATAGACAGCCACCTACACAGTTTAATTCTTCAAATATGAGAGATCCACCTCGTCAAGTTTACGTTCCTCCTTTTCCTCCTCCTCCTTTATTCAATCCTGCATTTCGCCCACCCAATCAATTTTCAAATATAGGTGATTATCGTCCTAGGGTGATTCCTATTTGTTACGCTTGTCAACAACCTGGTCACAGAAGAGGGGATCGAGAGTGTCCTTTAAACTCACAAGGACTTATTCCACGGGGCGGTCGGTAAGTCCTGATGTTTCATGTCAACAGAATGCCTCATCTTTTATTTCAGATTTAGTTGGTTCATCCAACGTTGCTCAGATTTTAATTAATGATATTTTATGTTCTGCATTATTAGATTCTGGGTCCATGGTTTCGACAATTTCTACTGATTTTCATCGTCGTTTTTTATCCAATTTTCAGATTTATCCGTTGAACGATTTATTAGATGTTCGTGCTGCAGGTGGTGTTCCGGTTTCATATCTTGGGTACATTTCAGTTCCAGTTCGTATTCCAGATACTTCAGAGGATTTTCAAGCGTTAGTTTGAATTGTTCCTTCGTGTTCTTTCAATTTAAAGGTTCCATTTTTAATCGGTACAAATATTTTATCTAGATTGTGTAATGTTCAGACTAAATCCACTGTGTGGAATTCCACATTTTCACTTTTAACTTCACAAGTTCAATCCAGTAAAGTTCCTTGTTTTTTAAAGTCAAGCTCAAATTCGGTTAAGATTCCTGCAAATTCGTCAATGCTTGTAGCTGGTACTTCAAAATTAGTTAAACCATTACCTGGTAAATGTTATATGGCGTTAGATGATATATCACTTCCTGGTTCTCTTCATGTTGTTCCTGGTATAGTTACATGTAATTTTACACAGCCTTCTAATAAAGTGAGAATTAACATTACAAATTCGTCAGACAGACCCATCACTATTCCTGGTAAAGCAGTTCTTTGTCAACTTCAGCAAGTAGACGTCGTAAATAATTCTCCATTTTTATCGTCAAATAGTTCTTAAGAAAAGCCGTTCGATGATTTATTTAATTTTCAATCTATTCATTCAAAGTGTACAGAAGAAGAAGCTAATCAACTTAAAGCTCTTTTACATAGTTATAAAGATGTTTTCAGTCTATCCGATACAGATTTTGGTAGAACAGATATTATTAAACACAGAATCCAGCTAACTGATGATACTCCCTTTAAACAACGACATCGCAGAATACCACCTTCAATGTTTCAGGAAGTGAAAGATCACATTAATGATATGATAAAAGCAGATGTAATTCGTCCTTCAAATAGCCCTTTTGCTTCTCCAATAGTTCTTGTTCGTAAAAAAGATGGTTCCCTTCGTTTCTGTGTGGACTACAGAAAATTAAATTCAAGAACAGTTCACGATTCTTACGCACTTCCCAGGATAGAAGAAACTCTTGATTCACTTCATGGTTCTAAATATTTTTCTTCATTAGATTTAAAAAGTGGGTACTGGCAGATAGAAATGGCTGAAGAAGATAAACCAAAGACAGCATTTACAACTGGTAATTTAGGCTTTTGGGAGTTTAATGCTATGCCTTTCGGGTTAACCAACGCGCCTAGTTCTTTTCAGCGTTGTTTGGAGCGGTGTATGGCTGATATTCATTTATTTCATTGCCTTATATATATAGATGATATTATTGTTTTTTCCAAAACTTTCGAAGAACATCTTGTTCGTTTGGAAATCTGTATTTTCTCGTCTCAGGAAGCATAATCTGAAATTAAAACCATCGAGTGTGAATTTCTACAACCTTCATTAAAATATTTGGGACATATTATTTCAGAAGAGGGTGTAAAGGCTGACCCTGACAAAATTTCTACACTTAAAAACTGGCCGATTCCTTCTAATGTTTCTGAAATCCGTAGCTTTTTAGGTTTTTGTAGGTATTTTAGAAGATATATTAAAGATTACTCAAAAATAGCTAAACCATTAACTGATTTACTTGTTGGTGAGCCTACTTCCAAGAAATATTCAATATCATCTGTTAATTCTTTTCAGTGGTTACCAGAACATCAGGAAGCTTTCGATACTTTAATTTCATGTTTAACCTCAGCACCAGTTTTAGCGTATGCCGATTTTTCATTACCTTTCGAACTTTTCACGGATGCCAGTTCTCATGGTTTAGGTGCAATTTTGTATCAAGTTCAAGATGGAAGAAGACGTGTTATTGCTTATGCTAGCCGTACATTATCTAAATCTGAAAGACATTATCCAGCACATAAACTTGAATTCCTGGCATTAAAATGGGCAGTGACCAAGAAATTTCACGATTATTTATATGGCAACAAATTCATAGTAAAGACAGACAACAACCCATTGACATATGTACTTTCTTCAGCTAAATTGGATGCTACTGGGCATAGATGGTTAGCCGATCTTTCAGTTTATGATTTTTCTTTAGAATATTTACCTGGTATTCATAATGTTGCAGCTGATGCTTTGTCAAGACTCCCTGTTTCAAATCTTGATAATTCTGTTGTATCTGCCATAATTAATTTCACTGACGTTGATCTTGGTAAAATTGAAACTTTTTCTTTTAGTCAGAATGTTCTAGATTGTGTTGTTTCTTCTATTGTTGGTTTTCCTGTGGAATATTCAAATTTAATGGATAAGTCAAGAGTTTTCAAGGCTCAACAAGATTGTATTGGAATTCAGTACATAATTCAAGCTGTTAGAAATGGATGTAAACCTACAGATTTTCATAGTGTCGATTAGGATACAGCTGCTATACTTCGTTCCTGGGATAATTTAATTTTAAAAGATGACATTTTATATAGGAAATACTTACCTTCACCTTCATCTGATACCGTGTTTCAAATTGTTTTACCTGTTTCTCTTCGTCAACATGTATTATCATTACTGCATGACAACATGGGTCACATGGGTCGTGATCGCACGTTGGACTTGGTCAAATCACGCTTCTTCTGGCCTTCAATGTCGAAGTATGTAGAGGAGTATGTCAGATCCTGCGACAGATGTATTCGCCGAAAGTCTCCTCAGCAGAATATTAGAGGGCCTTTAGTCAGTATTCAAACTTCGGAACCATTACAACTTGTTTGTACTGATTTTCTTTCTTTGGAACCATCTAAAGGTGGTATTGAGAATATTTTAATCATAACTGATCATTTCACAAAATTTGCTGTAGCAGTACCAACAAGTAACCAGACCGCGAAAACAACCGCTAAAATCTTAATTCAACATTTTTTCTTACCATATGGCATTCCTGCACGACTTCATTCCGATCAGGGTCGAAATTTTGAATCTAATATTATTAAAGAAGTATGCAGTATCTTGGGAATAAATAAATCTAGAACAACACCTTATCACCCCATGGGTAATGGGTTATGTGAGAGTTTTAATAGAACTTTATTAAATATGCTTGGTACACTCACTGAAGATCAGAAGATTCGCTGGAAAGATTATGTTTCATTTTTAGTATATGTATATAACTCTACAAAACACGAGTCCACTTCTTATTCTCCTTTTTATCTAATGTTTGGCAGAGATCCGAAACTTCCTGTTGATATAATTCTTGGTGACAATTATTCTTCTGATACTAATTCTTCATATACACAATTTGCTTCTCAGCTACAAGATAAATTCAATTTGGTTAATGAAATTGCAAGAGAGAACATAGAAAAGGCTCAACATAGACAGAAGTTTCACTATGATACTAAAGTTAAAGGCGCTAACCTTCATGTTGGAGATATTGTTTTGGTAAGAAACGTGCAAATTCGAGGAAAAAATAAATTGGCTGATAAGTGGGAGAATATTTGTTACACTGTAATTTCACAGCCTGATTTCAACATTCCAGTGTATATTGTTAAAAAAGATGGCACTTCCGAAAGACGCCCCCTTCACAGAAATCTTCTCTTACCTATTTGTTCTTCAGGGCATCCTATTTCAGCTCCCCGATCGAAAGCCAGGTTAGTGAGAGTGATGTAATTAGGGAAGTCATTCCTCTTTCTGATGCAGGTAGTGTTGTTTTTCAGTCTTCTGATGCAAATGGGTCTGGGGTTAATATTAATGATAGTAATTTGGTTTCTGATGATCACTGTTCTACTGATAGTTCTTTGCATAAAGCTCCAGATATTTTACCACTGGATATTTCTTCTGGTCCAAGTGGGTCAGACAGTTCTTTTTCACAGCTTGATTCTAATTCGTCAGAGGATCATGTTCTTTGAAAACGTCAACGAAAACCACCGGGATGGATGAAATCCGATGCTTGGGTTTTAGGGAATACTGTTTGGGTTTGATTTTCATTGATTATATCTACTTTTATAATTGTCCCATTTTTGCATTATTAGTTCGGTTAAAGTAGAAATATATGTAGTTGCTATAATAGTTTTTAGTTGATGACGACTTGGATTTGTTTATGGATAATGATTTTGGTTTTGTGGGTTGGTTCATTATGTATATATATATATATGTGTGTGTGTTGTTTTTTTTTTTAAAGTGGATTATAGGCTGGTTAAGTCTGTTCGTGTCGGGACGCCACTTCTTGTGCTGGGGGGATAGTGTAGTAGGGTGTTTTAGCCCCTTTAAATATTTTAGTAGGGTGTTATAGCCACTTTAACTATCTCAGTCAGTCTCTATTGTCTTGAGTATCCAGCTAGCCTTTTCTTTCCAGTGGTGATATTTACTTTAGTTTAAAGTTTAAAAATGCTATTGTTATAAGGTAGTGAGTAGATTTCACTCCCTTGGAAACCTGCTTTGTTGATTTTGGTTACTAACTTCACTCTTCTATTTTCTACCCATCTTTAAACAGCTCTTCTTAATTACAGCACAAATTAATCATTTATTTCAAGGTAGGTTTTGTATTTGTTTGACTGGACTAGACATTTTAAACTATATAAATAATTCCAAACTATTAAAGTAAATATTAGCAAGTTAATAATAATATATATATAGAAATTAAATAACCTTATATTTCATAAGTAAATGTTGATTAAATATATTTTTCCCTCATGTGTAAAGTCTTTTAAATGTGGTATCTATTTGTTTTATAGTGTTTCGTATTGTGTTGACTATAAAGTGTATAACTTTATAAATCATCTTTATTTTCCTGGAAAGAAAGCACCTGTCTTAGGGTATGTTTGAAATATGTATTTATATCTTGAATGGTTCAATGTAAATAGATAGTCTTTTCATTTTAATGCATAATAATATAGTACTTATATTATAACAGAGATACCGTATTTAATAGTTCACTTTTGTAAATAATCATTTTGTATCTTTTCAGTGTTTTTGTGATGTGTATGAAGTGTATTTTGTCCTGAAATAAACTGTTGTATTGTTAATTGGAGTCAACTAGTCTATACAACTTTACCCACGACCTGGACTGCCGGATAGTCTGTCTGTCCGTCAAAACTCCTGCTACATTTTCATTTTCGGAAACGGGTCTCATCCACGGTTACAAATCTGATCAACAAGTTATCAGGATCTGCTTCAAAACGGCGCAGATTGTCACGGGACATCAGGAATCTGTTGAGGTTAGTCTTTTCAGTTTCAGGTCCTTGATGACGGCCATATAGCCAGTTCTGCCCGTCTATGTTCATTCAATGATTGTACTTGTTGGTGGCAAAAGTTTGTTTCAACCCAATTGATCTATCCTTTTGTGCAACCCTCGTATAATACAACCACCCCATTTATATATACAGCCAACCTCGTGCATATAATTATACACACACAACTAGCATCTATAGTATGATACAACCATCCCATCTATATACACCCAACATATATAGTATAAAGATACGCCCACACAACAGCGGCGTCTCGAAAACAGACAGCTAATCAGAAGCTTAAGTGCGTTGCACAGTCTAAAATGCACATTTAAAAGCTAGCATTGTAATTTTTGTTGATAAGATATGACCTTTTTTGTTATTTTGGGTGGTAAACTACATATTAATTACCAAACGAATGCCAATTTTATTTACCAACTATTTTCCAAACTTGGCCCTAAATAATGATAATAAGGGGTGCCGATGACAATAAAAGTCAAATTTTCTCAGTTATGCCTGCATGGATGTTCTTTAAATTTGATGACAATGCTAATAGCAAGTCCAAAAAAGCCAATGGTCAATTTTTAATTATAGGACGTGGTTTGTCTGGTATCAATGGTAACGCAAAAAAAACGATAACTTTTCTTGGAAATTCTATTAGTACATGCTAATAACCACACAAGTAGATGGAAAGTAGAGGTTATAAGCTACATTTCGACACCAAAAACGTTGGAAAACATCGACTTAAAGTATTTTAAAATCATTCTTCATTATTTACCCCCAAACGGGATTTTGTGATTTTGGGTTAATTCTTTCAATACGTCCACAACAAGTTTTAAAATACAACAATTCGGACGTAAATAGTAAAAAGTAAAATCATTTTATACATTCAAAAATGGCAGTCTTCGACCATCAACAAATGAAATTCAGCCAGCACGTTTCAATCGCGATAGATGGTAGACGTGGATAATCGCGTCTTAAGAGAGAATTCCTTCTGACGTCATATCTAGATAGACGTGAATGATCCAGTGTGAAACTACTGCTAGACACGGTCATGATTGTTTGAAGCCGATGATGTAAACGGTGTATACGACATCATAATTTATTCAAGAACTAATCTAGGTCGAGGAAATCTCGTTTGCTATAAATAGTTTTTGTCTTTCCGACTGTACCTCCATTATTACACAACAAACGATCGGACTGTTATGTGTCCTCTGGGTTATTTTACACATGGGACACGTGTTCAAAGTTCTAACAAGATTGGTGTTGAAAAGTTAGTGAGTATCTTAGACTACTCAACGCCCTTAAGATAAACCTGTTGAAACAGCAGTTTTTGGAAAAGCGGGAACGGAAGGTCGCGGAACTGTGACTATCAATAGAGTTTGTCCTCACATGACCATACAACAGTAGCTGCTATCACTTTCACAAGTCATATGTTGAAGGACATGGGGATGGTATAATACGGCTAAACTATATTACATTCAAATAGCCCCACTGTATCTTTAAACTCACCTTACTATAACAGTAACATCCAGTAGAATCACCGTTCATAATACAATCAGTACCATCCAGATACAGCGTACATCTGGCTCTGTTAGAACAGTATAGAAATCGCCGACAGTCAGCATCTAGACCACATGCTGCGCTACAATCAAATTTTCTTCTAACCGTGGTTCTTGATAACACTTTATGATCATCGCATGTATTCTGAATTATACTCGATCTAGTGAAACTGCTGAATGGATGGTTAAGCGTGCGGGACGGAGTGATGAAAATCGCTGTGGTGATTATCAGTGCCAACATCTTGCGTTATACTAAATAAATGAGATAGAAAATTAAATGCAATACAATTTCGAACACTTCAAATAAGTTTTTGATTTTGAAAAAACCAACAGTATTTGTATTCCGAGTAACCATAACCTCCATAGCATAGCGTTAACACCTTTCTATGCTCACCACCACCAAATGTGTAATATGAAACCAATCGTGTTAATCTCTAGACTATTTACCCACCGCCAACGTCTCACCATAAAAAAAAATATAAAACATTCCGTGTTAATCTGCAGACTTTTTTTTATCCCTCTTACCACCACCAAATCTGTAATATGAAACCAACCATGTTAATCTGCAGACTGTTTTATCCCTCGCACTACCACCACGTGTGTAATATAAACCCCATTGTGTTATTCTGCAGACTACCAAATTTGCAATATGGTAATCTCCAGACTGTTTTATCCCTCTTACCACCATTAAATCTGTAATATGAAACCAACCATGTTAATCTGCAGACTGTTTTATCCCCCTCACCACCACCACCACCATGTGTAATACAAAATCTACCGTGTGTATCCCAAGACGTTGTACATGCCACTGCATATTATCCCCTGACCACAAATAACATATAGAAAATAACATCCACGTCATACCCTCTCCACACCACACTCTATAGAAATCACCAAACCGTTTTATAACGAATGAAATGTGCTTTAATGACACGTCACCACCAACCTGGCTATATTGCGCCAAACATGTGAATTATTCGAGCCAAAATAAAAGAAATCAAAGAAATATATTGATATCCATAAATAAAAACAAATATCACAGATAATATACAAAATTAACCAGCTGTCATGCAAGATACGCCCACATTTTGCAAGAGATGTACGTATTATGCTGTCACCCCAGTACGTCTGTCCAATTTGTTTCTGGTCACATTTCTTATCCGATTTACAGCATGTATCGGATCGGAACTTCATGGACTATGGCCCCTGATTCCACGAAAAATCACGTCTAGCTTGTGGACACTGCAGAGGTAACAATTTATATCCGATTTAGATGAAACTTCAAATGGTTGTTTATATTCCAAGGATATATCGGACCGCAACATCATGAATTATGGCTCCCGATTGTACAAAAAATCACGTGTTTAGCTTTGGGCCCCCCCCTAGAGGTCACAATTTTAGTCTGATTTACAAAACTGTTCAAATATACCACCGTAGCACCATTTAGTGAAAACTGGACCGAAAGTGCCCGACAAAATGGCCGTCCCTCATATGCAAATAGTGTAAAAGTATGTAATACCAAGGCTGTGAACTATCTACAGGTCACAATTTTGATCCGATTTTGATAGAATTTAAAATGTATTTTTATATCCCAAAGATCCTGGTTCATGTCGATATTCGTGCATATCGGACGTAACTTCCTGGATTATGGCCCATGATTGTACGAATAAATCACGTTTTAGCAGATCACGCATATCGGAACTGACCAAAACTCAATCTAATTAAAATATAGATCTATATTTCGTTTCGTTTTTATACCTTCGATGGCCTGCACTACATGTAGATCTAACAAGTTATAGTGGGAGTTCACGTTCTATGACGTCAGGTACCAAGCAAGCGACATTTGACAAAATTACGTCGATTAACCAATTAGCGACCGCCATGTATTTTTTATCTACCTTTACTTTGTTTTGATTTCTAGTGCCGCCAATGTCTACCCACAGTTCGCGCAAAAAGGGTCAAACGCTCGATTCGACAGACCATTTGATTGGCTGATCCTCATTTCAAGCAGAACACGAGTTAAATAACAACGCTTCCAGAACCAAGTGTTGTTTTGATTTCTAGTGCCGCCAATGTCTACCCACAGTTCGCGCAAAAAAGGTCAAACGCTCGATTCGACAGACCATTTGATTGGCTGATCCCTCATTTCAAGCAGAACACGAGTTAAATAACAACGCTTCCAGAACCAAGTGTAGTAAAGACAAGTAAAATCGAAATTTTGAACTATAAAAACGAAACGAAATTGGATCTGTGTTTTAATCAGATTGACCAAAACTGCCAGACAAAATGGGCGCTCCTTGTACGGAAATAGTCTAAAAGTATGTAATACCAAAATTGGACAAAAATTGTGACCTGTAGATAGTCCACAATTTTAAGTTTTATCAAAATTGGACAAAAATTGTGGACTATCTACAGGTCACAATTTTTGTCCAATTTTGGTATTACATATTGACCAAAACTGCCAGACAAAATGGGCGCTCCTTGTACGGAAATAGTCTAAAAGTATGTAATACCAAAATTGGACAAAAATTGTGACCTGTAGATAGTCCACAATTTTTGTCCAATTTTGATAAAACTTAAAATATATGTTTATATCCCAATGATCTCGAGAGTTTGTATCCGATTTTGATAAAACTTTACCTTCAATCTTCGTGCATATCGGACCGTAACATCCTGGATTATGGTACCTGGTTGTACAAAATATCGCATTATTTTAGCTTGTTCTCCGTCCATTTCTTGCAAAATGTGGGCGTATCATGACTGACAACTGCTGGTTAGTACAATCAGGAGCCATTATCCAATGTATGGTAAAGAATCGAAATAAAAAAACACATTTTCAGTTTCAGCAAAACTGGAAACAAATTGTGACCTTTAGAGGGTCCACAACCTTGGTATTACACACTTTTACATTATTTACAAGCATTGGGCAGTTTCGGTCCGATTTTCACCAAATTCAAACTCAACCATCATTAGGGTGTAACGGTTTTTAAAATCGGATAAAAACCCGACTTCTAGAGGGACCATAAGCTAAAAACCTGATTTATTGTACAATCAGTGGTCTATATAATCAAGCAAGTCACGGCCCGATATGCGCGAATACCAAAAGGAACCATTATCTTTGGGATATACACATACAAGTTTCATCAAAATCGGATAAACATTGTGACCCTATAGAGGGTTCACAATGTAGGTCTACATACTTTTACACTATTTTCGTACAGAGAGCGGCCATTTGAACACTTTTGTTAAATCGGATAAAAATTGTTACCTCCAGAGGGTCCAC